ACTATTAGTTTTTGTTACTAGTTCTTCTTTCTATTCCATGCCGTGGGGTCATGGACTTGGTTATGAGTTTGGTTTCGTGGCATAAATTTCTACAGATCTATCTATCCTAGTTCCACGCTTGTATGTGTTTGCAACAATTTGTTATGAATGTTTTTCTTATTAGCTCTCATGGACTTAGCCTGGTCTCAGGTGTTTATAATCTTCATGTTTTGTGACGTCGGTTTGTCCAGTGATTGAGACTAGCTCTTTCTAACGGACCCAACAGAATAGGTGTTTTCCTTCACCTGAGGACGGAAACAGATCCAGTTTACGAAACGTCGTGTTTTTATTAATTATCTTAAAAACAAGGACGATGGATAAAGTCCAAAAACCCAATATATCAAGTAACGGGATGCTTTTAAGCCATTTAGAAAGAACCGGGATGCCATCCCGCCCCACCTCAAGCCCTGTCCGTCACTGAATCGTTCCATGGAACCTACGTCAACGAAAGTGCATGTGTAGTGTGCTTCGACAGCTGCCATTAAAACGACGGAGAAATCGTGTTTATAATTAAAGAATGAGGATCCAGATTTATTAGGCTTTTTGATAACAACATGCTTTCCATCGATGGCTCCCAAGCAGTGTGGAAAATGCCATCGTGTTTCAAAATCTGAGGCAATCGAGATCCACATTTCTGTTGTAGGTTGTGGTAAATACAACTGTTGCATATTTTTCCAAATGGCAATTGAGACTTCGTTCACAATTTTAGCTACAGTTCGATCTCCCATCCTGTAACTGTAGGCAACGCTTTTGTAGCTATCGCCAGATACCAAATACCTGAAACAAAGAAATACACACTCATTAATGTTCAATTCACACTAATTAATTAATTGCGAAATATATTGTTTTCTCTTTTTCAGATGACGAGGCTAAATGTACTTGGATGAAATTAAGAAATAATCACAGAGATGCTCTACGACGACAGCGACGTATGAGAAGAAGTGGAGTTGCTGCTGCACTAATCAAACCGTGGAAGTTCTAAGCTCAAATGGAATTTTTGTTACATTACATGGTCAATGAAAACCGTGATACAAATTTCGCCGACGATGATGACAGTTCAGAAACTCCTAATGAAGAAGATCAACATGTAGACCCTGAAGCCCAACATTGTGAAGGTGACCCTATTTACGAGATAAATGATGAAGGTTCGGACTTACCAAACACTGCCGACGTTGAAGAGAATGAATCACGTAATTCATCTGCAAACAACGTGTCTGCTGAATCTCCTGGGTCACCAACGCCACAACAAAAGAAGAGGGTGAAAAAATTTGATATTGACAACTTAATAAAAGACTATTGAACAACGAGAACAAAGATCAAAAGAAAGAAGTGAAGAAAGAAAAAAATTAGAAGCAAGAACAACTCCGAAGGACGACGTGTATCTGTTCTTCATGTCAATGTACGAGCTGACCAAAAAAAAAATGCCAGCAGCATCTCAGCACATTGTAAGAAGAAACGTATTTCTCACTGTATCGCAAGGCACGCCTGCTGAATATTACTGAACCTACATTTAACCCAGGAGTTGGTACAGGCGACAGCAGTCATCACCCGGGGAACTAGTCGAAGTGGACACATGTGAGGTCTCCTGCTTCAACAAGCTCTTCAGGGCAACCTCCTTCCTACTTCTGTGGAGAGACGGTGGCTACTCGTGAAAACTTAGAATCTTCCAACGTAGCCTCTTTCATTAACCATTTATCAGAATAAAAATTTCTATGCGTTTTTGCCATGTATATTATCAGTTTCTTATTATATTGTAATGTATACTATCAGTTCTTCAAAAGCATAAAATAAAAACTTACCTCAAAAATACTGCCAGTTTTTCTTCAGTTCCAATTGGAGTTTGAACATTGCATCCCTCGGAATAAATAATAGGTTGAATCATGCTATGAACTTCTTCGAACTCCTCTCGATTCAGACGGAAATAGTTCACAAATCGTTCACTGGAGAATTCTCTTGTCAGTACAAATTCCCCGTTAGTTCCTCTTTTTTTTCATGTACTCACTTTTCCACAGCTTTACCTTCCTCGACTTCCGGTAATGTTTCTAACTCGCTGTCCGAATCTGACTCAGAGCTCAAATCAAGGTATTCCGCAAACATATTTTTGATTTTCGATTTGGTTACACGCACAAACTACCTCTGCCTTCGTCAAATTGCTGAACAAAACTGCTTTCCAATATACGTCGACAACTGTGCCACACAGTTCTTTTTCCCGTGCTGCCCTGCCCTGACCTGCCCCTATTACGCCTAGCAGCTCAATGTGCGTCTTAGCCGTCTTAGCTTTGTGTCGGCTGAATACGAGTGACCGCAATACACACAAGTCGAACAATTCTTGCATCGTCGGTAACGAAAAGGAGTTTCTTGTTTCTGAGTGCAAGTGTAAGTTGTAGGTATTCTTTAAGGAATCATTAGGATCATTCGAGAGAAATTCAGTTTCCTCATATTTTGACAGATTATGGTGTTCGTGATATTCCGCCGTTGCAAGTTCTAGTTGGGATTCTGATTAACTTCGCAACGCCAGCTCTGAGGGTGATGTTTCTAGTAGAATGTAAATTTTTACTATTTTATGCCCTTTCTCGTCTATTACATATACCCATCCGACCTAAGGAAGTCGTGAGGGTTGTGAGAGCTGATGGTCTATATTGAATTGGTTGGAGTTGCAGGGCACACAAATGCATTTTTTGCGACTCTGCAATGTAAATTTGTAGAGTATGTTGCTGTTTCTTGGACGTAACTCTGAGCAGTCTGGTAGCCAGTTACCGACGTTTTGGAAGCAAGAGGTTCACGCAAAATGGGTGAACTAGCTGTCTCCAAAACTGAGCAACAATCTGTTAGACTACACAGCGTGTAATAAGACACTAAGCTCCATAATCTCTGCCGGCCTCTACTGTGAGAAGAAAGTCCATGTCAGTGTGTGTGTTTGTTCACAGTAATTAGTATGTTTCCTTACAGACATGGGCAAATATTCAGAGCTAGGTACAGCCACACTTGTTAGAAATATGATGCCATATCACTAGGATTCTTGTAAATCAATTCATTTTTTTTTTTTTGGCACTACAGCCCCAGTGGGCCTAGGCCTACCTCCATGAACTTCTCCGTTCACTTCGGTTTTTCTAGATCTTACACATACGGTAGGACTCCTTGGGCGAGTGATCAGCTCATCGCAAGGCCTCTACCTGTAGACAAACACAGAAAAATGCACACAAACATCCATGCCCTGAGTGGGATTCGAACCCACGATCCAGGCTTCCGAGCGAGCAAAGACAGTGCATGCCTTAGACCACTCGGCTACCGTGATCGGCAAATCAATTCATTTGCCACCCACATATAAAATAAAGTTTCAAGGTTATGAAAGATTCTGCATTCTCTCGCAACAGGAATGCTGAGAATTCTGCTACAGAGAGCTGAAGAAACATTTCCTGCTGTGACAGAAAGGATTGTGAGTGTTTTGTGCTTGTGTGCTCAGACAATTTTATCCTCATCAGTCAATTCTCATATCTTAAGAAACTGAACTTTTTAGTGATAGTTTTCATTAACTGTCTGGGGAGTTTACATGGTTCTTGATATTGTAACACTTTGCATTATTATTTTGGAGAGGAATCAATTCAAGGAGAGTGGTATGGGTATGTATGTATGTAAGTAAGTAAGTAAGTAAGTAATTAATTAAGGGGTGGGCCAAAAGAACTGGCCCCTACACTATGACCTTCAATGATCTATTGTGCTTCCCCTTGGATTAGCCCTTTATTAATCATATACTTTTAATAAAGTGCAGGACCCTGCTTATGGGGGCATCATAAAAGTCACTTGGTTCCATAAAACTGACCCAAGTGACAAAATCTGAAATAAGCTATGGCCTTGCAATTACACAGGATGTGTGCGGCTAGTTTTCACAGTCACACAGGATGTGTGCAGCTGGTTTGTTATCTTGTTGGCACCTTTCACAAGTTGGGCTGTCTGTCAGTCCCAACTTGAAAAGGTGTCCTTTCAGGTGGCAGTGTCTGGTAAGTAATGCTACCACCCATTTTAGTTGATCTCTGTTTAATCTCAACAGATCCTTTGTTCTTCTGGCAGAGGGTCCTGCTATGAAACCCATTGCCTGTCAAGAGTCCAGTGTGTGACCGCTTTCCCCCCCCCCCTGTGCAACTCCAATTGAGCTGCTGCAAGCTGGTTCAGGTCCTGTGAATGGCTGTAAAGATCGTGATATGGGTAGGTCATATAGCATGCATGTGAGAATGGGAAATGACAGAAGACCTGAAAGAATGAAACCACTTGGGAGACAATTGTGAAAATGGATTTTGTTAAAGGTACAATTATGGGGGTTTTGGACTGGGTTTGTTTGTGTCAGGATGCAAAGTCATGATGGGCATGTGCGAACACTGTAATGAGTGCTTAGGTTCCATAAAGAGCAGATACGTATTGTCTGTACTTCCACAGGGACCGCAGGTTTCACAGGAAGGTCCCTGCATTATGAACTTAACACTTGCTAAGATTATGAAGTCTGTAGAGAAGAAATCCGTACAGAGCAGCTGTTATGGGTTAGATGTGATGAGAAACAGCTACAGCAAGGCGAGCATATATTGTTTCATGTGTGATATTGTACAGCCATGACTGATAGAAGATGTGATGCCTTTACAGAACTGTACAAATTCAGAGAAGGTTTTAGTTGGTCCATATGGTGGGATATATCCAGCAAGTCATGATGCAAACCAGGCCATGAATATAAAAGCTGAGGAAGTCTCAGATGCAGAAGAGGAAGCGGATCCTGTGCAAATAACAGTTCAGGAGATAAAGGCTGAACCTGAGGTGAGCTGTATGTTTCTGTATGTCCACTGTTAGGCAGATATCACAGATAGGCAGGAATTCCAGTTGTCTGTCTCATCTCCATCTGTCTGGCTGTCTTGTCTGTGCACATGGGACAACTCCACTGCACTGCTGACTTGCCTTTGAAGGCCTTTTTCTGAAATGTCTCTAGACAGTTATAGTTTGTTGAATGTATGCTGCTTGTGATGTACCACTTCCATTTCCTTTTAAGCAGTTCTAATGAAGATGAAATTAAATTTTGTGTAAACTGAACTGTGTTTGAGAGAAATTCTGTAGGAGCAAAAATTCATAGGGAGTCACAGAACTGTTCGTAGCTAGTTAACACAGGCTAGAACCAAGAGTTCAAATTTCTAGAAGTCTTGTGAGCTATTCCAATGAACCCCACAAGATATTTTTCATGTGATGAAGGTTACAAAAGATTCTACATTCTCTTGCAACAAGAGGGGCAAGAATTGTACTGTATGGAGCTGAAGAAACATTTCCTGCTGTGAGAGAGGGTATTGTGTTTCATGCACAGACAAGAGTTTTATTTTCATATATCAGTTCTCCAAAGAAAGTAAATATTTTGGCTTCTGTTTGTTTGCATAATCCATGTGGGGAGTTCCTTACACTTGGGTGATAACGGTTTGAGATATTATGTAGGAGAGCAATGAGTTCAAGGAGAGAGATGTGGGTAAGTCATGTAGTGCACATGCAGCAGTGAGAAATGCATATAGAGAGAAGAAAACCACTTGGCAGACCTGAGTGCAAGTGGAAAGTTACTATTAAGATAGATTTTAAAGAAATGTTCCCACAGAAATAATTTGGAAGGGTTTGTACTGAGCCTGTTTTACACAGAATATGGAGCCATGATGAGCACAGTAGTTAGCCCTTTCTGGCTTTCTCAGCAAATCCTATATGCATTCCTCTTCTCCCCTATGCCTGCTGTATGAGCTGCCCATATCATCCTCCTTGACTTTGGCTTTAAGGTACTATAACTAACTTCATGTAGCTGAGTGAGTCCTTGAGAAGCCACCAGTTGCTTGGCCACTGAAGCATTTGCACTGTTCGGCATATAAAACACAAATGTGCAGAAATGCTGCTTGTCTCTCTGATATCCATCTCTGCAAACATGAAACAACTCCACTGCGCTGTTGACTAGGTTTTGAAGGTTTTTTTTTTTCCTGAAATGTTTCTAGGCAACTGTAGTATTCTGAATGTTGCGTGTGATGTACCACTCCACCGAGCAGTGCTTTGTTACTACATCATAGAGTTCCCAGAATCTATAAATGCTGAAGTTTATCAGTTATTTGTTTTCTGTCTTCGATGCAGTCGGTATCCATGTAATAACATAGAGCTGTCATTATGTTGATTTGTTATAGCCCTCGTATCCTAATGATTCTCTATAGCTTTGTGATAATGTTTGACAGATTATAGACACGTGTTGCCTGTTGCCCTTTGTTTGAAGTAAATTTAATATACCTGACACTGTTGGAGTGGCCTCTGTTCCTGCTGTCAGGTGAATGGTTGTCATAACAGATTTTTTTGTTGTTTTCGGTTGGACAGAAAGGTGACTAAACGTTAGATACAGAGAATGTGTAAGCGGTATAGAAAGCAATAGTGAAGAACTGGCATTGGCAACACATCCTAAAATATAGACGCAATGGTGGTGAATTGGAGTATACAGTGCATGTAATTAAACACACAAATAAAGCTAGTAATGAACATCAAAGACAATTTCTACGTCTACATATAGACGGAGGTTCTTACTTTTCTTGGCCAGTTCACAACAACTGATGCACTACTTGCTGCAAGGTGCATACAGATTTTGCCAGTGAATCAGTATGCCTGTGGCCAGTAAAGTTTGGAATGAAGTATACAATTCCTAGGTCACAGAAGTTGTTGAAAATGCTGTCCCCCTACACATAGACATTCCTTGCACCAGCAGAAGGGGTTCTGATTAACCCTTAAAGCTGTTGTGCCAGAATTTTTGCTATTTCCATATGATTTTTTTTTTTCAGTTCTTCCTCATGGAGTTTACTGTTTTAAACTTTGTCCTGCAAAGAACCACAGAAGAAAATATCTGAGAATTAAGGTTGGGTGAATGTGCCTGCCAAATTCAAGTGCTGATATTTCTCTCCCCAAAAGTACCAGGCAAAGCTTGCATAGACGTACGTGAAATGTGTGCTAAAAGCGGCCATAGTGTCTTTTTGCTTTTGTAACTCTCGAAAGAATTGTCTGAGAATGACCTGTACGTATTTTTTTTTTTTATTTGGTTGGGGTGGGACTGAGTCCACTTGGTACGGCAGCCACTTCTGGCCAATTCTACCAGCCCCAGATGATAGGTGAGGCTGATTATGGAGCAATTGGTGGAATGAAGATTGGCAGGGGTGTTGTATCCTGAAGTTCCTCGCTGGATGCCCGGCGCTGTCATATCGTGGATGTTACCGGTGCACAAGTCAGGTCTGGTGCTCCCTAAGCTGGGGATCCGGGTTGACAGAGGAGGATCGATTGATCTGACAAGAGCGGTGTAATCAGCAATTGAGTTTATTAACTAATTTCTGTTGATTACACATATATGCCACACCTGAGGACTAATAGCTAGGGTTCCAGGGATGGAAGGCTGTCTTGGCTCTACCTAGCCGCTATCTCGGTCAACAACTAGTCTCTCACTCTGTCTGTGTCAGACTGGTTTTTCATTCTTTGTTTTAATAACACCACCAGTCATAAGGAATATTTCAGAGCAGAGCTCTGTTAGTTTGCTTGCTTATGTCTCGCCCCTTTTTTGTGGGCTTCACTCCCTGTACCCTATGAGTATGTGCTTTTTTAGCAGCCACAGCTGCCTAAGACGGAGGTCACGCGTCTGACCCCCTCGGTTATCTCGACTGCATGCTTGTATCCTCATTTGTCGCTACCATTTCTGTTACATTTCTATTAAGATTAAATGCTAATGAAGTATCATATTAACAGTAAATGCTAATGAAATAACATAGCGCATACAACACCTTTACCAAATGAAATAGCTCTTATACAGCAGTAATGCATATACAACACCTTCCCCATTAAGTGGAAGGACCATTTACACTTCAGTGGGTCCTTAGAAATAGGATTTAGCTAGCCGGGGTCTGAGGGACCTCTGGGTAGGGGTTTCATCCTGCAAGGATTGGGTAGATCCTCGGAGGGGAATGGTTTCGTGGCTTGCGACCAAGCTGTCATTACTTGTCTTGATGTTTATATTTACAGTGTTCCCCGTTCCACCAGATTCTGTTGATGTAATTGCTTTCATAGCCACCGCGGTGGTCATCCTGGGGTTGCCAGCATGTAACCAGCGGTTCCTTACATACCTATACAGTTTGTAAAGTGCATACACACCAATAATTGCAAGAATAATATATACCATTACAGAATAAGATATATGGCTGCTGATGTGCTTGTTTTTCCATTCTTGTTCCTGTATTTCCTTTTCTATGTTGGAAACCTTGAAACTAGCATATTTGAAATCATTTAAGTGGGAAACAGTTTGCTTGAACTTCATATCTAACTGTATGCTACTAAGGTTGACCCTCATATTGAGTTCCTCACAACAATCAAATCGGAGGGGGACTTGCGTGAGCAGGTCTCCTCCTTTCACAGATGAATTACTGACTACAGTAAAATTGGTTTGCAGCAATGATGAGGTGCTGTACCCCTTGCAGCCACTTTTGATATGTAATTTACCCACTCCTGTAAGCAATACGTCAGCAGGTTCCTTCCCGTCACATAGCACTGTTACACTGTCTATGGAAGGGGAGAAATATATCCATTCGTTATTCATTAACTGTACCCATACAGTATTAGTTAATTTCGCTATTCTAGTTTCACAACTCCTTGGGATCCTCTCATTTGACTGCAGTAGCCTAATGTAACAAGACTCATGTACATGGCTAGACATTAAAGGGTGTTTTTGTTTGCACACATATGAGTTGGAGTCCTTGGTTTTACATTGCCTTAGCTCGTCCTCGGTTAACATTAAGTAATATTGTCTTGCTTGATCAAGGCACAACATGGATTCAGCTGTATCAATGTACAGAAACTTATTTAATTCTAGTGCTACTGGTATTGGAGTCATTTTGAGTATCTTAAAATTTCCTCTGTTCACCAATGGTAACTCTACCATGTAACCCAAAATGCCATCACTCAAATAGACATGTAGATCACAAATTCTAAGCAGTTAGTTTATAGAGTCTTTGCTCAAGGGGAAGGGAGCCATAGTTTCCTTAGGAAAAGATGGGAAACTTCATATTAAGGAGTCCATCAGGAGGCTGGGGGGTACCACTTGCGGTTGCAGAATTCCCTTCCTTGCGTTGATAATGCTATCGATCACTACATCGAAACTTCTTTGTAGAGTATTCAATGCCTCATTCACGCGTGCAATGTGGCTTTCTACCGTAATCTTATCAGCCAAAGCATCAGTAACTCTGGTGGTATTTGAAACCACTGATTCTACATATGCCTTAATTTGGGATAGTCCCCTCTTTAGTATATTCGCATTGTACTCCATATCCGAGAGGGTTTCGTTTATGGCCCCTACAGTGGATTTTACTACAGACAACTGTTGTTTCAACAGGTTCGTCATACTATCAGAATTCTCTTCAAAGTGTCATATCTGCTCGTTGTAATATTTAGCGTCGTCATTATCCATAGTTCCGAAAAGAATCTTACTAATTTCACCAACGAAATTAAGTATTCCCCTTCTTATGCGTTTTCCACTGTATTTTGGATCAGTTACCTCTAGCAATAATTTTTCAGTCCCCTCGATTTGTCGAATTTTACGTTCTGCTATGTCATGGAAATAATTACACTCCATCTGGTTCTTTACCGCGAGTTCGTGGCACAGTCTGCTTATGTGCTTAATATATTGTTCTATTCCTACCGACTGATTGATGATTTGTTTAAGATCCACATACACTATGGTTCTCCAGTTCGTGTTGTAGAAGCTCGCCTGGCCGATGTTTTCATAATAG